TGGTTGGACACTTAATAAAATCCATATATAGCTTGTTCTTCTTTTTACATGACTTTTCTAAACTCTTTGTCATCCAAGGTGACAACCTATTTTTTTGTTTATTTACATTTTTTCAAAGGACAATGATTATCATAAATTTGTGTAAATATTTCCAAGAATGCATTATATGAATCATTAACATCTTTAACATTAACATTTTGCCAGTTATAATTTAATAATTCTATTTTCATAGCTCCAGGTAATTTTAATCTAACTAAATTTAAATTTTGTTTTCCCATTCTTAAATGTTACTAAAAGTCCACTTTTTGTTTTCACATTAGATTTGTTTATGAAAATATTAAAAATCAATGAGGCACTATCTTTATTTATCGTTTGAGTTGGTTTTAATATTAATGGATAGAAACCTAAACTAAACATAGTATTAACAAATTCTGATATTTTAGTATGCTCATTAGATTTGAATAAATAAATGTTGAAATCTCCACAAACAAAGGTAAAGTTTTCATTATGCTTCTCGAGCATCTCTGATATTGTCTTACTAAACTTATCTATACAGGAAGCTGGGGACCGATAAACACAACTAATTAACATATTTTTAGATCTATTGCCCTTAATTTCAACAGATAAACATTCCATCAAATTATCAATAGAAAATGTCATGTTAACAATAACTTTACATTTTAAACCAGACCTTACAAACAATTCAACACCACTCCCCCCTTTTATTGTACCTATTCTGGGCAAACATTTATATCCATCTAAACCATCCAACAGTTCTTTTTCTTCACTGATCCAAGTTTCGGAAATCGCTACCACACTAAATTTCTCCTTGAAGGTTTGCAAGTAACTTTTAATTTTTAAAAAAATTACTTTGCATGCTCCTGCTGTTGAAGTGAATCAGTGAAAAAACCCTTTAGCCTGCTCCGGTGGACCATTAAGTTTTATCATTATTTTACAGTTCCTAGTCCATGTAACCTGTATTTTTTTTCCCTCCTTCTTCAGAATCCTTGCTTGATGAGCAATCTCTGCATTCTTCTTGGTTAGATGTTTGTTCACAAACACATCTGTGCCCTTTAGTTTTTTTGCAACTTTTAACAGCTCAATTTTATGTTTTCTACTCACAAATCAGATGATGATATTTGGTCTATTTTTCTGTTTTTGTAAGCTTGCATTCTTTTTTTTGTGGGATTGTGTGACAAGCAGCTATAGTTTTGCTGTCCAATTAAATGTCTTTACTGCTGAAAAACTCAATAACTTGCTGCTCAAGTGAGAGTAGTTCACCTGGTGGTGCGTCCTCCCCTTCATTGTCTCCTGCTGTTATCCGTGCATAAGTGCGATGAGTAGTCTCAAGTCCAGATATCACCACATCAACCATTCTTGTGTACTGTTCCAGGTCCTCCACTCTTTTTTCCAGCGCTTCTTCTCATCCTTTTCTTTAATGATCGCTTTCAGTTGTTGCATATCTCCAATCAGACGCATTAGGCTTATCTGTTGCTGATTGTTAGTTGCTGAGACTTCAGGTAATTCAGTAGGCCTTTTGCTGGTTACCCAAGCACATGTTGTAAAAAAGTGCTTAGAAGGTATAATACTGCAAGTTCAAGCATTACTTAAACATCTATGTGCAGATCATGAACAAACACTTGGATGTCAAGTTGTCTTTGAGATATTCGATAGATTGCAGAGCTGAACTGCACAGCCCTCCTAACCAGCAGCCATCTTGCCCCCATATATATATATAATATATCACCTAATGTGTTTAAACAACTCCTGGCTCTTTTATCACATCATCCTCTCATGTAAGTGTTTTGATATTAGCTTCAGTAACGTTAGCTTCAGTCATTACCTCTCCCACGCTACCTCTGCTTATGGCTCCAGGTGAGTCTTCAGTGCGGTTTCTCATTCATTTCCCCATGACCACTTGGTGAAAACACTGGTCAATGTAAACTTCAAGGTCCTCCAAACACTCATCCTCGAGGTCCTCCAGTGTGGTTTGACTACTATTATTTGTTAATTGGCGGATTATTTATTTTAATGAAATGTTGTTTAGCTGTGCACTGCCGTGTTTGAATTGCACCAAGTCTCACAAGATTACACAAACGCTTGCCGTGCCATCGCTTTATCACATCAAACAGAACATTGTACAAATATTTCATACGTATACTTTGTAATTACTCATTTTAATGTTGGAAACTTTATGATTTGGACTAGCATTTAAAATAAAGTTTTATTGAACACATGAAATTGTTTTTTTCAGTTTATACAAAGTAGTTGCTGGTTTTCACGGCTCCAATTTAAAATGACACATTATTGATTAAAGAAAAGGCTAAACATACCAAACTTAAAGAGCAGAAACTAAGTGAAATAATTTGTAATAGGAAAAGGTCGACAACTATGGAAGTTTTAATTGGACTTTAATATTTGTAACCCCTACAAATGTGTACAATGATGCGCAAATATTTCACTATCTGCAAATGTGTATTTTTACATTTGTGATGTATAAAATCATATCCACAAAAACACATGGTGATGTGTACTCACAAAACTGTATTTACACATTTGCAGATTACTTCCTGTCAATTTGTGGGTCATGTTACATGTGTAACTTTCTTTTTACACATTTGTGTAATTATGTCCAATGTGTACTGCAGAGATCTGTAAATATACACAAATAAATTGTACAGATTAAATTGTGTGTATTTGCAAATAACACTGTATTTTTGTGGATATGATTTTACACAACACAAATGTTTTAGGTGGTGACATATTTGTCTATATGTTACAAAAATATCTTTGGTATAATGAGACAGCAGGGGGAGCTGGTGCAGCTGAACAGGTTAAATTCTGAGACTTTCCCCTTTAAGAAATAAACATAATGAATATAACCGTAATCTTTATCTCTAACTGCTTTGTTCTACGGTCACACAGACCTTCATTGGGGATATCTTCAGTTCATCCCCAGTTGTAATGTATGGAAACAGCCTCTCAGTGAAAGTGTGTGTGAAGGTGTGTATGTGTGTTAGTATCAGGATCACAGAACGACAGCTTTCCTCTGTTCCAGTCCAGATTCACTCTGATCCTCTGGGGCTTCGTCTGGACTCTTACAGAAGTGACTGGAGCTGGTGGTGACCGTGCTGAGTATTTACCTTTATTGAACCATATTCCCCATAATCCAGACTGTATGAGTCCCTTCCTCTGGACAGACTCTGCTAACACACCCATTTCCCAGTCTGTACTGTTTCCAACATCAACATCCCAGCTGTGAGTCCCTGACTTAAAGCCCTCAGAACCCAGAACAGACCAGTATTTCTCAAACCTCTCGGGATTGTCAGGAAGCTGCTGTCTCTCTCCTCGTCTCACGCTGGTCAGATCTTCAGACAAGATGAGTATTGGATGAGCAGTGTTTGGATCCAGAATCACAGGAGTGTAAGAGACCTCGTCATTGTTCCAGATGTTGAAGGTCAGGTTGCCCAGGTGTTTGGCCTGCTCTATCAGAGCTCCTGAGGGCAGCTGTGGATCATCCAGCAGGGGGCGCTGCTGGACTCTTTCCACTGCAGCTTTGTAGCTGAGCAGGAATGAGACGTCTTCAGCTCTCAGCTCCTCCTCTGTGGCTCTGACTGTGTCTGAAAGAGCTGCTATCTCTCTGCTCAGAGCCTCCATCTTCTCCTTCATCATCTGACTCTTCTGCTCCTCTTCCTCCCTCAGTGCAGCCATCCTGGCCTCCTCTTCCTCATCTAGAAACTGGTGAAGCTTCTTAAACTGCTCCTTAATCTGCCTCCTGTGTGTCGGCCTGGACCTTAATGTGTTCTGCTGTTTGATCAAACTTCACTTTAACTTGTTCACAAACCTTTAACTTCTCCTTTAAGGACTCCAGAGTTTCCTGAAGTTCCTTCTTGTGTGTCGTGCAGCTTCATCGATGGGTCTGAATCTGTGGTTGCTGTGTTTTTCTGAATCTCTGCAGACGACACACACTGGCTGCTGATGGTCTAGACAGAAGAGTTTGAGTTTCTCAGAGTGCAGACTGCAGAGAGCCTCTGAAGCTCTCTGATCTCTCTCCAAAAAGAAGGCCTCACACAGGTTCTTCAACACCAGGTTACAAGGTGGGTCTTCCCTTGAAGATCTTTTCTTACAAACTGGACACTCACGTGCTTGTTTCTGTCTCCACCAGTTCATCAGACAGTCTTTACAGAAGCTGTGGCTACATGACAAAATAACAGGATCTCTAAAAATATCATGACAGACTGGACAACAGAGTTCCTCCACTGACCTGGAAGCCATTTTGTCTCTGAGTGAAGCTGAAAACACAGAAAGGACAATCAGTCCTAGCTCCCCTCCCTCCTCTAACTTTCACCTTGAATCGTGTTTTTAGTCAAACTCACCTTCAGTGTGTGGAGCGTCAGCAGGTTGAAGCAGCAGTGTTGTAGTTTTCTTATTTTTTCTCCTGTAGCTCAGAAGAAGTCTTTAGCTTGGTCTGAAGGTGAGTCTGATCATCTCTTCTTCAGTCCGCGTGTCTCTCTTGAAGCTAAGTGAAGTGAAGAAGGGGAACAAACTGTTTCCTGGTTTATCTCTGGGTAGGCAGGTGAGGGGTGGAGCTTTTTCAGACCTCCTCTGTTGAATGTTGTCACTTCACATGGGTGTGTCCATTCCAAAGTACTGATTTACTGCTGACAATGTAGACGGATAGTGTTCACTGCTCTTAAAGTACTTAAGAACCCCTTTTTCGTTCCCTTCTCCTTTGACTCAGTTTTCACATCCCTCCCCAAACCCCCTCCTACATCCAAAAGCCACGGACCCCATTCCTCCTTTCATCCATCACCCCTCGAACATTTCCCCATCCCTGCATCATTTCGGCTCACCTCCATACCATGCAATAAACTATTCTAAATCTACATCTTCCCAGACTTGGTCTTTGTCAGTCAAAATCACATTAAACTTCGCCCAGCGTTCATGAGTCTCTTTTATACAATTATCAAAGTAAAAGGCCAATTATTTAATTTAAACCGTTCTTTTATGTATGCTTATTTTATTTGTCTTTTATAGACACCTTGGTGTGTTACTGGAGAAACAGAAACACGCTGCAACAGTAATCCCACATTCTGGGATTATGTTGTCGATGTCTAAATAACAAACTCTTTTAAATAAGAATATGGGTAGCTTTTTATCAAAGTTTGAGATGAATAGCACAAACAACCACTGAATGAATGTTCAATAAAAAAGTGTTACAACAGACGAGTCTAGCGATGTTACAGGTTCAGCGGTAATGGTGAAAATTTGGAGGATCTAAACCTCCTTTAAACTCCGGGAGCTGGAGAACTAATCTCTCATAACGCATTCAACTGCTCATCAACATACAGATCAGGAGAATTTTGGAAGGGTGACCATTTCTATCAGGGCCCACCTGGATGTCTCCATTTTACATTAATTTACAGAATATGCATGTTTAAACATTAAGACATTTCATTTTGCCAATTGGACAAAAAGCTCATCATGAATACAAATGTCTAGAAAAAATATAATTTACACTTCTGACAAAGAATGTACAGATTCTTTGTCATTTTGTATTCTCTGACTATAGGTTGCTTTTAAAGCAGATATCTTTAAACCTTTTTTATTTTATCAAAGTGTCACAGTAGATTTATTTCGGAGGTTTTTTGTACTTTCTGGTATCAAAGCTGCAACACCCTCCACATTATAATGTTGAAACAGTAAGACATCTTTAAAATTACTGATTGATGCAACATCCTTTAAAGTCTGTTCTTCATTTGTTCAAACGTCTTCTCTTTGTTGGTGCGTCTGATGACTGTCCTCTGTTCCCTTTTGTTGTCTTCTCTTTCTTCTGTGGTGCTGCTGGCTCAGTGTTCTTCTTCTGTGGTCCTGTTAGTGTTTAATTCACATTAACAGAACACAATTGAAATGTAAAGTAAATAATGAAAATTCAAACATTAAAAGCATTAATGGTGGGTTTAATTATTCTGTCTGTGAGTATTAGTTACTGATGAATGTTTAAGGGAACTTATTACTGCACTGTAACTCTATTTTATTTTAATTTTATGTAGTAATTTTTTACCAAAGTTGTACATCTGATACAGATTAAGATTATACATAAACATACGTTTATGAAACAAGATTAAACCACTGGTTTCCAGCATTACAGCCTTACAAAGTGTTTGGTTGGCCTTCTCAGATGTTCCACTACAAAGACAATTCCCCACTAAACTTTTCCGATGATTTCATATATTAAAACTAGCTCCACTTTGAGCAGCTACAACAGTAAAATGCTGCTTTAAAATTGATGCATCAGCATTAAAATCTGTAATATAATAATAATAATTCATATTTTTCACATTTTTAAGTCCTTTTACTTGTGATATTTTGATATAATAATACTTCTGTATTTTTACTTGTAACTACAGTATTCTTAAATTGTTGCATGGTACTTTTACTTAATTAAAACATCTGAGTACTTCTTTCACCACTGTGCATCACAGTGTATTGATACTGTGATCGATCAAACTGAATTAAATGGAATCTAATAGAAGTGTGATCATGTATGATGCATTCATTCTTTTCATTTAATTATTCCACTCATGCAAAATGTGAAATGCAAAAAGGTGAAAGCCAAATATAAACACAGTATATGTGTGAGTGATACCTTTCTTCTGAGTTTTTCCTTTGGTGGATGTTGTCCTTGCGGGAACAGCTGTCTTCCTTTGTCTTGGTGCTTTCTGTTTCTTGTTGGTCTTCAGCTCCACCTCCACAGGGTAGTGGTCACTCACACCGAGGGTCTTGTAAAGCAATTAAAGAAATATTCTCAATACCCTGGCCCTGGTGTTAAACTGTACTGATCAACACAAACATGAGTCACCCTTACTTCCTCATCAGTCAGGTTGAACGCTTTCTGGAAGTTGAAAGACTTGGCAGAGCCGGGGACGACGCCGTCCAGCATGGTCTGTCCATACACCACGATCCTGTTGATGCATCACAGTCTTTAACAACAATTTATCAATTACACAAGATAAAAATATGCAATGAGATGTGGCTTACCTGTCGTAGGTGTTGTCATTAAGGTTACTAGACGTTGTGTCGACATCATCAGCTATCAGCCAATGGTAAGGGGCGGAGCAGATGCGGATCGTATCCTTCTTCTTCTTGGAGAGATACCGTCCATCTGCATTAAAGTCCCCTAAAATCATTATGTTCTGCGAAAGAAATAATCTGTATAATTAGATGTCATGATAGAAACAAATCTTTTCGGGAATTTATTACTTCAATTATTTTATCATAAGTTGTTCTATTGATGCTGATGCTCATTCCTAAAGTTGGCATCCATTAAACACTAACTTAATCGCCCCTGAAAAACTTGTTTTTGTTGACCTCCAGTGGTTCGGTGTTAAGTTTTAAAGTTAAGTCTTTAAATAACAGTACCAGGACTTTTGTACAGTGATTGCATGTGTGTGTGTGTGTGTGTGTTACAGGTGAGGGTCAGAATAACTCATGGTCCTGCAGAGCTGGACAGAAAATAAATGTATTATTAGCAAAATGCAATTAAAAGTATCAAATGTACTCATTATTCAGTGTTATTAATATAGTATATTATATTATTCATTTTTTTTCACTAACAATTCATATAAATGCATTTTAATGTTGTAAATCATCAATTTATAGCCAATTTAAGAAACTTTCTAGACCACTGGCTAGATTAGTAGTTTAGTACTGCATCATATTATTTAAGGATATCACATTTTTTGTGTCAATTGTGTCAAGTAAAATATTTCCCCTTGAAATAATAAAAGTATGTCAAAATTGCAGTCGTACAGTTACTTGAGTAAATGAACATTGAGTTGCATTCGACAGCTGTAGAAACGTGGCTGTGATGAGCAACTTGAGTGTGAGAAAGAGACTGATAGTGTTGCCATGGAAGTCACAGCCTTTCTGATCCCACCCTGCATCCAAGTACGTCACAACAAAATTGCATCCCTGATACACTGAGCTGCTACACAGAAATAGAGCCCAAAATGTGACTCTGAGTTCAGTGTTTTGTAAGAATTTAGGTAAGCAAATCTGTTGTTATAGCAGCAGTGAAAAACATTCTGTTGTAAATTTAACCTGCTTTGAATTTCATTTGAATACCATGAAAAAGGTGTAATCGGAGTCAGGCAGTAAATTCTGAGTCACGAACGCAACAAACTCGTTCCACCCTCACATGTTTGGTTTGTACAGAGTCAAACTATCAAACCTACATCAGTTCCCCACTTCTTCCTGACAGCATCGACCACGTCATGCAGCTCGTCCAGCTCCTTCAACGAGTCCTCTGGCTTGGTGTGTACGGGGATCAGTACCAGGTCTTTCACAACTGGAATAGACAGACACAGTATACAAACAAACGAATGCTTTCAGACAAAAAGATATAATATTTACAGAGATTGTGTGGAGCACCGACCTGTAGTTGGACAGCTGAAGCGCAGAACGAAGGGCTCTCTGGCAAAGGCGTCCACATCTCCAACTTGATTATCTTCATACTGGTAACAATCTGTCAGCTTCACTTCATCCTTTCTGAGACACACACATATGTAACAAGACAGTGATATATTTGTATACGTGTCATGAACTTGCTTTGACAAAGACCATCTGTAATAAAAGCTTAGAGTGCCGTCAACCTCTCTTCAATACATGCTATTATCATAACCAGCACCAGAGAACTACATGTGCTGCAAACATATGGCTACACTTCATAATGGCTTTTATTTTCGAGTGAGCTACTGCTTTAGAGGGTAGACAGTGAAGCTAGGCTCTCTGTACCTGTAGAAACAAACAAACTTCTCCTTGTAGGTGTCTCGTCCCAGCTGGCTGCTGGAGGTCATGGAGTAGGGACGGGTTTGGTTGGAGCTGAGGGGAAACAGAAACAACACCAAAGAAGAGTTCTATAATGTTACATGACGTTTGATTGTGTGTCAGATGTGTAATTACATTTTACTAAGTTTGTGGTTTTAAATACCACAACGACATGGTGGTGGTGACATTTTTTTGCACCAATTTACGGGGGAAATGTCATTTTTATATGAAGGGAAACTATATTCAAATTGTATTGCAGGTTTTCTTATTGTGCAAATACACCTTTCTCAAAGCATTTTAATTTGTTAATTAATATTTCTTGGTGCAAGTTATTTTTCAGAACATTTTTAACAAATGCTTTCAAGTAATGGGGGAAAAAAATCAGCCACTTCAAAATGTGGAGGGGACATTTCCCAGCGCCACCAGTGTAAATGACATCTATCATCATAGTTAATATTTTCTAATTAGCACTAAACACAAAGTACAGCTGAAGAAGAGGGGGATGTCATTGGTTTTGTAGGTATTTATTTAGTCATAAACTTAAGTAAAACTGTTTGACCTGATGATGATTTTAATGAGTTCATGTGTTGAAGTTCCAACTCCCAGACAAACTGAAAGCTATATCATCAGTATTTCCTCTGTTAGATCAAAATGTTTCTGTTAACATTACAGCTACTCAGCCTCTTTATACTTGCTGGCCTGAAATTAAGGCTCTGCCAGACATCATTTAGTTTTTTTTATTCAGGCGTGCTCCTTGTCTGTCATCATGTTTCTTTTACTAACAAATCAACCGCACTTTTTTTCAATTATTTGGGGCTTCATTATAATATTCTAAGTTGTTAAATTGTGGAAAACAGAAATGTTTAACATGTAAGAAAAAAAGAGCTCATGTTTCACAGAGAACTCACCTGTTGAGGTCTTGAAGTAACTTCTCCATGGCCTTACCGCTCTTATCCACCACCTCCAGAATCACCACCACACTGTACTGAGACATGATCTAGAAGCAACACAACATGTTGTTTTAATGCTACGCATTGCACATAGGCCTACTGGGTGAATATGTTGTCATTATCATTAGTGTCCTATCAATAAAGTAATAATCAAGGCGTTACCTTGGTGAGGGTTTTGACGACAGCCTGGTCTGCGGTTTTCTTCATTCCCAGGTTCTTTGCATTGAAAGCAGCTATCTTCATTTTTCACTTCAGGTGATTTGTGATGTTTTACAAGATGAATAAAAGGAACATGCTGTACAAATTGAAAAAAAATATAGATAGAGGGAGAAAATGGGGAACAGATGCAAAATAAAAAAGAAATTGAGGCATGTGAAACTAAAAAATCAACACTGATAAAAAAAACACTGCAGCTGGTTTTGTTGGAAGTGAAAATGTCGGCGTGACACTTTAACAGTAAATCTAATCTAGGTCAGACCTGTGATAATGGCCTCAGCATACAGCAGAGGTGACTTTATTTATAAAGATAAGAGTTGAAGTGAAAAGGGAATCATGCAGAAAACATTTTTGAATATTTGTTTTACAATCAACCTTAATCAAGTTGAGAGGAAGTATTATGCATAATGAGACACTACCTCCACATGCAGGTAGGAACATCATCAGACTTTAAAAGATTTCACTTTAACTTCTGTAAGATCACGATTTATTTAACACGTGTCTTCAAGCAGTTTTTTGTTTTTGATATAGGTATGAATGGGCTGAATGCTTTTTTGAAACCTTAATAATGCTTGGTGGAGGAAGAAGTCCTTAAAAAATACCACAATTTGAAAATACTGCATTACAATAAATACAAGTAGGATTTTAACATCACAGCTAGTCGAGCTGGTGCAAATTTAAACAACTTTATGGGCATTTTCATCTCATATTTTACAAGATAATGGCATGTTTGGTGTTAGCTTCTTAAACCTGTAAAGTAACTAGTAACAACAGCTGTTAAATAAATGTGGTTCAGAGGGAAAAGTACATTTTTCCCTCTGAAATTTAGTACAGTAAAAGAACAAAGTACTTCATACCTAAGTTCCCTTAAAACTGTACATTGTGATGATTAAAAAGAAAGACAACAACAAAGAGCAATTCAGTTTCATTTTGCGGTCTTTAAAATGAAACTGAACTGAAAGCAGGTTTTTTTTCTGTAAGTACTCGGATTTCCATTCAGTCGAACGCGGACAAAGTTACTAGAGGTTTTATCAAGTGTAAAATACCAAGTAAAAACAAAGATTCAAAAGTACTTTTCAGTCCAGAAAAGTGTAGAAAGTAAAACAAACTCACCAGTCTGTTTGAAATACACAAAATGAAGTGGCAGCAGTTCCTATCAGCAGACAGAGTGATACTGAACTCTGCTGACAACAGGGCAACTGAAGAAGCCCTGAGAAACAGGAAGTGTCTCTGTTGGCCACAAAACTGGTATACACACATCAACACACACACATCAACACACACACACACACACATGCACAAACACACACACAGCATGCTGCAATCTATAACACACCAAACAGTCGCTTTACGTTATCAAGACATGTAAGTGTTTCCTGCCTGTAAGAGCTGCTGGGCCTTTACCTCAAACACCACAGCACTCTGCTGTCTGCAAACTCTGTAGAAAACAGATTATTTGGCAGTTTATTTGACTATGGCAATGGTTGCCATGCAGGTGCTGCTCTTTCTAACTCAGTGGTGTGTCCAGACTTGTTTGACACACACATCTGAATAGCATCAACCTAGCATTGCCATTTCTTTGTCTACTTTATTTACATTATTAACATTAAATAACATTGCAGCAGCCTATCTTACAGTTTATTACATTCATGTGTTTAAAATTTTAATTCAAAAGATAAATAGATCTAAACAACCGTACATATGTAGACCATATATATATGTTTATTATTCAGTCCTCAAAAATAAATTATGCCTCCAAAAGCAGGTTACACACAAAAGAAAACAATGCAAATGCAGTCACAGTATGAAGCACCAACTTCATGGATTAAAAGAACAAATTAAAATAAGTAAACATGTGTGGACAAAATATTGTATTGAAGTGCAAATAAACGTCAAATACAATAAAAATCTCTTCAACACGATAAGCCTACTATTATTAGTTACCATCCTGAACATTTAGAACAATTCAACAACAAAGTATTTTGGGAAAATAAAAACGAGGCTCAATTTGCAGCACACATTGTTAACGTTAACTCACTGTGTGTGTATCCAAACGGGAACATTAAAGATCTTTCCTGAGAATCTTCCCGTTGGTCTCTGAGGCCTAATGGCAAACAGCATGATATGAAGTGTTATTAGTTTAATTCGGCGAACTTAATTTTCACCATTGTAAACAAAAACGTGGCTCACCTTCCGCAGTCTCTCTGTATCCAAGGCAACAGTAGCCTATACTTCCTGCTTCTTGTAAGAGTTTATCTGTTCACGCAAGTGAAGATTTTTAACGCGACATTTTACAAAATATTTTATTGAGGGGGAAAAAAACATTGACGTTCAAGCTCATAGGCTATATTCATTAGGCCTGCCTTAAAATCGGTTTGGTCTATAGGCTTATTATTTGATTCAGTCAAGTAACTTCCTGGTTACACACATCGGACAGATTAAAAATTAAATGCGGTCAGTGTTTCCTATATTTATGGCTTGAAAATCGGATCAGGTCTATTAGATTTTTGTGCTAAAAAAACTAGGCCTATATGGCCTACGGTCACCGGAAAAGTAGGTTTTGGATTAAAAAGCAGGGGCTTTAGGAGTAGCATCCACCAGGCCAGGTGTACCGGACCAGGCGGGTGCTGATCGCCCAGGAGGAGAGGACGATACCTGTCAAGGACTCAGGCTGGCCAAGCAACGGGTAATCAGATAACCTCATGAAGTTGGTCGCAGTGAAGCCTCTGGTGTAGGCCTACCGCGACTTTTTCCAGCGCTTCTCCCAGGTTGTCTGTATTTTCTTCCCTTTCCATCTCAGGTTCCTTGGGTTCCTAAATAAACTGCATTACCCAGGGGGCACCACGTTACGCTCACCTGTTCCCCTTCTCGCCTGCTTGCTTTTCTCCCTGTCGGCAGCGTGTCTAAGCAACATTAACCTCACAAAGCCTGGCTCCAAAACGGCGCAAAGAGCAAACCAATAGAGTCAGATGATAACACAACAAAGCTTAAGGTAAAATCCATCCCTACCAGCTGCTGAGCGTTTGTGACCCTAAAAGTAGAGAGCATCCAAAGAGAAAATAGCCTACTACAAGGACGGAAGGTCTGCCTCATCGGGTCCTTTTGCTAAAACATGTTCAACTTTTCACGAAGTCGATGCAGTCTTCAATATCACCTTTGTGGAAACCGACCAATAGCTGCCTGGATGGGGCGGGAACACAACATTATCATGACTATCTTGTTGCTGCTGTTTACATTCTCCCAGGCAAAATTTAAATTACTGCAGAATAATTTCCTGCGTGAGCACGTGTATGAATATAGCTTATGGCTATTTTGTATTTTATTCTGTATGTTCCCATATTTTAATGTAGCCTAGCCTATATTTGATTATCTGTTATGTTAGATTTCTGTAGCATGAAGGGATTCATTTCGTTGTACAACCTTATAACATGATAAATGAATTACCTTGATCCTTAATCAAAACTAAAATGTATTCCTTCATGAAGAAATATGCATGTTTGCTTTCTTTCAGAGAGAAGATCATTATAAATTTCACGTGTACACAGCTGTATCTGGACGTTGTCAGTTTTGCATAAAGACTGGAGGCAGGGGGAAACAGCTAGTACCGATACAGCCAAAGTTTGATAATACACCATACACCTCAAAAACATGATGTATCATGTTTGTTTAATCTATAAATGAACAGAAATGTAAAATCTATAAGTGGTTTTATGAGGAGAAACTATGAGCTGCTTTTCAAAAAGTTGTTGTCACTCTGCAGTTTCGACATTTTACTCGAAGTCACTGCTAAACTGTGGAAACAATTACTTCAATATGTGGTTAAAAACTGTACTACAATATATAAGATCGTATTGTTGCTGATCCCTATTAAGTGTAGGTCATATCCCTGCATCTGTGTTTGATTTTCATTAAACAAGCCACATGTCCTAAACTTACAATGGACAGTTTATACCACAAGAGGTAAAAGATAATTTGTGTAATTTGAGTAAACCAAGCCTTTAAAAACAGCCATGTTCTCTTTTGAACAACTAAACACAGCAGAGAACTTTTCAATGAAACAGAAACAGTCTTTATATAAAAACAAAGAAAGCACAAAAAAACCTTTCATGATTAGTTTATTTCAGATAATACAAATCCAAAGCCATAAGCAATATGAGGATGATTATAAGTAAGTAGTGATATAATGCTGTATGTGTTTAGGCTAATGTGCTCTGCCATGCATCTGCGTATGTGTCATCATCTTGAGGTTATCGTTGCAGCTGTAGGGACATCCTTCCTTCTCTGACTGTTAGTGGTTAATTTACAAAAAGACAAAAACAAAACAGAAAAAACTGTTGAGTCAAGTTTTTTTTTTTTTTTTAGAGAAGCTTCAGTCAACATCTGAGACCAGCAGCCATAATTAAAGCTCCTGACTTTGATGACCCCTTGTGGCAGAATTAAAAAACGACAGCATTCACAGGCTGAAACAGACAAACAAGCAGCTTCTTGTATTTGTTTCCCCAAACTTGCGGTTTGGATTATAATTCACAGGCAGTGGTAAAATGTTACTAAGTGCATTTATTCAAGAAAGTACCTACAAATATGAGGTTCTTTCACATTTCATGCCACACAGTATTTCAGTACTACTACCTGTAGTAGCCTAAATATATTTACATACATTTTTGCTGTTAAAACCTGCATGTTTTTGCTTAAACTTGCAATAACTGAATTATGTGTTGACCTCCAGTATTTACAGAGAAACATGATCTCTCTCTCTCTCTTGTAGCTCTGTTTTTAGTCTCCAGCTTATGAGGGAAATACCTAAATGATCCAGCTAATCGCTAATTGAGTCTGTCGGCTGTTTGCTGCTGAGCAGGTCTTGTAGTGTGGCTTTTTCAATGCAGAACTTTTACTTGTAATTGAGTACTTTTATAGTGCGGTATTGCTATCTGAATACTTCGTCTACTGCTGATCATAGGTAATATTTTTGTAATGTTGGAAGTGCTGCATTTATGTAGGATCCAGGTGTTGTAGGGAGGTGATCAGGTTGGATGGTCGCCGTACAAAAACACGTGCCTTTGAGGATCGTATCCTCAGTCCTGCATGTGGTTAGTTTTAGTCAACAAAGGCACTTTAGTTAGGTAAGGTTAGTTAGAGTAAGGCTGTGGTTTCGACTACCTGTTTATACAACAAACACTCCTGCTCATTATAAACTTTATATGAATTAAACTAAGACCATGATTTTTTGATGATAAACTCATTGTAGAGTGTCTAAACAGACAAATGACACAGACACAGACACACACGTGAAGGAATCAATTACTGATACAGTTTCGTTAAAATAAAATACTACCGTTCTTCTTGTTGGGTGTCTTCTGGGCTCATCTGTTTGATGTTAATCCTCTTCTTCTTCCTCATCGTCATCCTCATCATCGTCATCATCCCCGTCCAGCTCCTTCAGCTCCACCTCCACAGGGTAATGGTCACTGATGTCTTGAGTCCGAGAGAAAACAAGTCAAAAATCTCTTTTCAGACCAGTAAGGTGGAAAAATTACTTTAAATGTTTTTTTATTAAAATTTTGTAAATACTCTCAGTCCAAAACCTCAATGCAACTTGTCAGTCTTACTTTGGCATCAGACAGGTCATAAGCGTTCTGAAAGTCGAAAGACTGTTGGCAGAAAATGTAGTCACAATCGGGTTTATTTGAGCACATTTGTTTTACAGGTATTTGGACAAATTAAGATTTGGACCTGATGGCGGCGCTAGATGAAAAGTCATGGGCTCACTAAAGTCATTAAGATTCATCCTCTTAGGATCAGAAATATTGGTACCAAATTTCATCGCAATCCATCCAATAGTTGTTGAATATTTCAGTCTGGACAAAAGTGGTGGACCAACAGAAGAACCGACATTTCAATCCCTAGAAATATTTTATGATGTGTTTCACTGCTGTAAACACTACATAATAAATTCCACTTACTTCTGTTGTGTTGTAAGTTCAGTAAAAGAAACTATATTTCCTCAGTTGACATGAAGTTTAATGTCTTGTAGTTACAAAACAAGATGTAAAGGTACCTGTCATAGGTGTGGTCAGTATTGTCACTTGTCGTGGTGTCGACATCATCGTTTATCAGCCACTGGTACGGAGGAGAGTAAATGAGCAGCTTTTTCTTCTTCTTCTTGGGGAGGTAACGTCCATCTGCATTAAAATCCCCCAAAATCATAATGTTCTGCAGAAAAACATAAACATAAGTTATCACCACAAACACCATCAGTAACATAAAAGTATAACAGTCAATTGTATTTAAATCCTCCAGAGTCATAAGTCAACAGTTAATATAGGAAATATTCTGGACATTAAGTAATGTATATTATCCACACAGAAGTACAATAACAAACAACTGATTCATTTTGGATCAGATTATCTACCAGATCTGCAGTAATACTGTTTATAGCCAATAGCCATAGCCTCCCCACCTCAAGTCTGACATTATGGGTTTGCTCCTATCCGCATACTACCAAACTAAACTCAACGAAAAAGAAACATGCCCTTTTCAGGACACTATACTTTAAAGATAATTCTGTAAAAATCCAAATTACTACAACAACAACGGTAGGTTACAGGTCACCAAGGGTCTCTGCTCACTTGCGTGAATGTGCCTTAGGCATGTTGCAAGGAGGCATAAGGACTGCCGACGTTGCCAGGGCAATAAATTAGTAATTTCTGTACCATTTAGATGCCTAAAAAAGCGCTACAGGGAGACAGGCAGGACAGCTGATCCGCCTCGCGGTGAAGACCACATGTAACAACACCTAAACATTCTGAAAATTCTTAGAAATGGCTTCACAATTATTTTCTATGTCAAACAAACTAAAAAAAATTATATGAAATATGATAATTATCACACCCCACAGCTCTGCAGAGCTTGTCAGCTTCTTTTAGCTCTTCGTTTTGGTTTTACGGCCCACAACTTTATTGTTTGGTTGCCAGCCTGCTCAGCAGTCTCTTCATAATTCCTTTGTTGAAGAGGGAGAGAAATTGTATTTGTGTACTGTGGGGATTGAACACAAATTCCCCTAATTTAGAGGCCTGTGCACTGCTGATTGAGCTAAAGGAGGCATTCTAACAATTAGTATTAAACTATCATTTGACTATGTTCTAGCCGCCATCTAATGGCTTAAACAAAACTGGGCCGATGCCAATTTTACAGTATTTACCAACCCCTGTTTTAAGGAATGCAAGTTTAAAATGCCAGTAACAGCAAGTAGATTTCTAGTTAACAAATTTTAAAATTTTTGCTACAGTACTTTATATTTATTCTATTCTTTTCATTATTAACCCACATCAGTGCGCCATCTTTGCCTCACATCTTCGACCACATCATCCAGAGCGTCCAGCTCTTTTTCCGCATCCTTTGGTTTGGTGTGGACTGGGATCAGCACAAAGTCCTTTACAACTGGAAGCACAAACACACCCAATAAAGCATGGCTTAGCTAGTGGACACACACACACACACACACACATGCATTTGTACTTCTGATTTGATTGTATTTCACCTATAGGTGGTGCCACAGCAGCATGATCAAATTACAACTACAACTTTTTTTTATGAAATGTTTTATTACGTCAACAGATTTCGAGGATTGTGCAGATTTGGCAGAGGTGAGTCGTGTCAGACATGTGAAAATTAATGACACTGCGATGAACAGATACTGATTTAGTTTTATTTTTTCAGTGGGGGTGATTTATTCACTTCTTACCTGTAGAAGAAGACAAACTTCTCCTTGTAGGATCTTCGTCCCAGAGATCTACTGCACTTCATTTTGAATGGTTGATGTCTGTTCTTTCTGTCCAAAAACACAAACAAATGGAACTGCGACACACAGCTTTTCTTGATAAATGTATGTTAAAGTGTGAATACTCTTTGAAGCATTTAAGTAGTCTCACTTGCATTAGAAAAATAGACCTTTATGACAGCAGCTATTTTGACTTACTCAGTAGCAGCCGGTTTCACAAAGATACACCTTTACTGTAGTTTAGATCTAATCAACAGTCAGACTTCAGATAGATGTGTTAATGCATCTGTTGCACAAAGCTGTCTTCTTCAAAATCTTAAGCAGGACTAAATTTCTATAAG